ATTGAGCGGTTGCAATATCTTGGAACAGTGTGGAATGAAATCCCTGTAGAACGCAATCATTCCCAGGTATTTTTGTAGGCTCTTTACGTCATGTGGACTTGGGTATTCCGTTAGCGCGCGCAACTTATCTTCGTTGGGACGGAGCGTGCCGTTATCCACGACGAATCTAAGGAGGTTAATCTCGGGCGCGGCCAACTGAACCTTTCCGGGATGAATCGTGAGCCCAGCATTGCGCATTTGCTCAAGTACATTGCAAAGGTGGTTGACATGCTCCTCAATAGTTCTCAAAAAAACAACCACGTCATCCATGTATGCCATGGCGAATTCGTACTTCAAGTTCCCAAGTACAACATCCACCAGGCGTTGAAAACTGACTGGAGAGTTAGACAAGCCAAACGACAGTCGGGGAACTCGAACAACACTCTGTGGTAGATGAAAGTCGTTTTTGGAACGTCTGATGGGTGGATCTCGATCTGAAGAAACCCGCGACTGCAATCCAGCGTTGTAAACGCGGTCGCGTGACCGAGCGCGTACATCACGAAAAAAAGGCTGGGGAAAGGGAAGCTGTCTCGTACGGACACATCGTTAAGCCGCCTGTAATCCACACAGAGTCTGGCTGTTCCGTCTTTTTTCGGAGCGAGAACAACGGGGAACGCCCAGGGTCTTTTCGACTCACGTACTGAACCGGTGTCGATCATTTCCTCGAGCGCCGCATCAAGGAGTGCCCTTTTGTGGACGCTGATCGGTCGAGGGTTGCACCTCCGAGGCGGCGCGTCAGCGGTTTCAATTCGGTGCAGCAGAATGTCAGTCTTTCCATGTGTTTCCGTGAACATCGGTGAGAAAGACTGCAGGACGGCTTGCAGCTCCTGCTTCTGCTGGCTGCTTGCGTGGCACTTTCGCATCGATGCTCGAACGACGGCTGGCAAGACGTCTGGCACATTGGTGAAGTAGGCTGCAGTGGTCGGGTTACGGACGCAGTCCTCCCGTTTGGTAAACGGAGTCAGCTCCGGGTGTTGTCCCAGCCGGTATCCACCGCCAGAAAAGTCGAGTGTCATGTTTTCGCCTGTAATGAAATTTCGGCCCAAGATCACGGGTACCACGAGTCCTGGCAGATAAAGAAATCGCTGACGCCGCTTCTTTCCATTAAACCAAACCTGCAGCCTCACGGCTCCTCCAGCTGTCATCGCTGTACCAGAAGCTAGCTTCAAACGGGTTTCGCACTCCCGGAGGCTTATCTTTTTTGATTTGCAGAGTTCGAAAACGAAATCCCCTATAAGCGAGATAGCGGCCCCAGAATCCAAAAGTGGGGCAATTAGAAAATCGAGCAGTGAAATTGTTGTGCGCGGTTCAATGATGTTAGGCTCGGGCTGGACTCGACATACCGATGGAATCTGTGCCGCGGTCTGACCGCTCCCAGGGACTGCAACGGCCGTCGGCGAACGGCTGTCTGGTTTGAGCGTCGTCGGCCGTAGTAGTTTCCCTGGTTGTTTTGGTTCCGGCCCTTTGCCGCCATCTCGTGCCAGCTCTTGTTTGTAGTGTCCAGAAGTCTTCGACACTGGTTTTGGTGATGGCCGCGCTGCTCGCAGTGGTAGCAGCAGTCCGACGACAGTTGCCTGCTTAGGTCACCCGCACCGAGGTGCCCGTCGGAACGCCTCCAGTGATCGGGTAAGGAACCACTATGGGAGGGCCTCCACCAGGCTTGCGACTGGCTGTTGTGGGGAGGGCTTGTTCCGTTTCAGAGGGGGTCAATGCTGCTGGGCTGCAGGTTTGAGACCGCCCCGTGGCAGTTTTCGCCAGCACTTGCAGGAGCAGAGTGATGAAGATGGTTCGCTTGGGTGGTGATCTCTGTTGGGCCCCAGTATGATAGGGCACGGCACACGACCTCCCACCTGTCGTGGCGACCCCCGCGCGAAACCCTCACGGGCCTCGCAGTGACCTCCGAGGACCTCTCGGGGAGAGTTAGGCGAACATACGCTTATCCCGCACGGAGATTGCCATGCATGCCAAGCCAACTCTCCTGGTTGACGTGGTGGGGAAGGGAGGTCTCGTTCGGATAGTCCACTTGCGTGGAGGCCTCGGGGCCCCGCCATGCGCATGCCGGTTCGAGCACGTACTTGGGTGGCGGCGGCGTCACGTAGTTCCGCTCGGCATGAAGAGCTTCCTCGATGAGGCGGGCGCCCCGGGCTAGCTCTTGAAGGGTCTCAAAGGTGCGGTTGACCAGGTAGACGTGGTACTTTGGGTGACACGGTCTTGTGACCCGAGCTACCCTTAGCAAAAACAGACCGTACTTCGAACGAAGTTGAAACAGATTGAATACGAATATTCATTTTTTATTTATTCTCTATTATTTTGGCCGCACTCGAAATACGTGCGTAATGTATTCAAAATACATTATAAATATGAATCAAAAAATATTTTAGAAATACCAAAAATATTATCCCTTTACACTCAAGATGCCATTTGTGCCTTAAAAACCGGTTACAGAATTTTTTTTTATTTACGATTGTGTATGGAAATGGTGTCCCTGTGGTATTTGAAGGCACTACTAAATACATCCCACAAAGCTACATTAGAAACGAACACAAACACAAACACCATGACGCCCTGAACAGCTCATTCACAGTCCCGTTAACTGCTCTAGAGCATTATATAGCCTACATATTGAAGGTAATCATTTTTTCGGTGACCACCTCTGCGCCTATTAAGGTTCCAAATATTTGATCTTCTCCTCGGGAGTCTGTCAAAGGGGAAACAGTGTTTTGAAGTTCGTGGACGATATCTCTTACTAAAAGCATTGGTACAACTAATAACAATTCGGCGCAGTCCCTAAAACAATATCCACAGAAACGGCTCATAAAATACATGTTATTGCTTCTCTGCGTAGCACCACTCAGGACGAAGCGAATCAGGGCAGTTTCTTCACTTTAAAATACTGTAAACGACTTTATTTTCGTGAGGACTTAATTCTCGCAAAGTTCGCGAATCGCGTACAATTCCGAAAAATAGGTCGCGTGAACAATTCCGGCAAAATGTAAAAACATTAAAATCTATATTGCGATCCCAGCGCGTCGCGAAAATTAGAATTTGCGAATTATTCCAAAACTCCAACTTTGACCTAAATCACGAAATAATAAGCCCGCGAAAAATAAGCATTTTACAGAAGTTATTTTGCCTTTCCTTTTTAGTAGTAGACTATTTAATATGGTAGTTAATGTCACTATAATAAGTCACTATTCACATCACGTACAATGGTGAGTATACACGTTCAGTGAACTAAAATTGTGCTAACGAAATCACGCCAAACGTACCTGTTCACAGCATCTGCTGAAGCTTTCCAGCATCAGCAAATGTTGTGGTTGTAGTTCCCGAACCCCGTTTGTGATTGGTGTGCAAGGAACTGATCAGGTGTGTTCTTGATAGAAAGAAGGAAACATAAACTGGGCTGATTTATCAGTGCGATGCTGCGCAATTCAGTTGACAAGCTAATCAAATGTTGTGTTTAGGCGCTTCAGTGTACTCCATATCTGCTTGAAGTGAACTTCTAGAAGGGGCGCGAGCTTTTCAATATTTTGGTAGTTTAAGTCAAATTACCAAAGTATTGCAGTCAAAAGGTACTTAGAGTATAACACAAAAGTATTTACGATTTTCAGGTATTTTAAGAGTATTCTGCACGTATTTTTGATTGCTTCATTTTTTTAGGGTTGGAGTATATTTTGCATTAATTAAATAAATATTTCAAGAATTATATATGAAATGTATTTTGTTCCTATTAATTTAGTATTTACGTATTTTAAAACGCACGAACGGAACTTCAAATGTAGTTTAAGTAAAGGTATTTAAAAATGATTTTTAGAAGTATATTTTAGTACTAAGTAAAAAAAAAAAGAAGTTTATATTTTCGGTCTATTTTTGTGTACTTACAATTATGAACTCTATTTCAAATACACTCAAATTAGAATGTGGTATATTTCAAACGTATTAGTTTTCGCTAAGGGCTATAGTCTTCTCCGACTCCCGGGACTTCGGGTCCGCCGTCTTGAAGAGCTCTTGCATGATTCGAACGTACTGGACCAGACTTTCATTTGGGTGCTGCGTCCTTGCCTCGAGCTCTCGGAGAATCTGCGTCGCGTAGCCTGCAGACAGGAACTCTTCTCGAAGCCTTGTCTGGAAGTCCGCCGGGCTGGTGAAGGGGACCTATGACCCCAACCAGCACTTGGTGCTGGCTTGCAACGCCAGCGGGACAATCCGCTCCACGATGAAGGCTTCCGAGGCACCGGAGGCAAGGTGGTACGTCTGCATCTCGCCCAGGAAGTCTGCCACGGACTTGACGTCGTCGTACCAAATGTAGACCGGAACAGTCAAGTGTGGTCGGGGCTCTCGCGGTGGGGCCTCCTGCTGGCCCGGCCTGTGGGCCAGGCGCTGTATCATGGAGTCGCACACCTCCGTGAGCTTCGTAAGCAGGTTCATTTGTGCCGCTGCGGCCATCGCGGCTTCCTGCTCCCGCGTGAGCATTCCTGCAAGCACAAAAAAAAAAAAAACGCACCCAAAAACCCAACACAAGTGCGCAAAACGATTGCCGCGGTCACAAAAACACAGTCAGAAACACGCCAATACAACAAACGCGGACTTGACCGAAGCACGGAACGACGGTAGGAAACACGGGGTATGCGAAAAAAGCTTACCGAAAGAAGAAACCAAGCCCCGTGAAATTCCTGCGAGTGGGTAGCATACCCCGGTTGGGCGCCATTGTGGTCGGTTTGCCCTGATGCATACCCGACCCGGAGGAATAACACGGAGCCGACGGTTTCAACAACGAGAAACTACATTTAATGGGACATGGACGAGACGATTAACATGGTTACGTGCGGCGCCTGAGTCCAGGCAGCGACTCCCTGCGCGCCGCCTCTGATGCGTCTTATCAAGGCGGCGCACGCGACGTACACGTGGCTGGCGTGACGTCACCGCCACGCGGGAAAAGTTCGGCACCTTTGCCTCGCAGTCGGGCTACTGGGCTGGGGAGCCGCCAGGGCGCCCACAAGCTATCCAAAAAAAGATGACATCCTTAGTAGAGAATAATCATCCTAACTCAAGTTTAGGCAAAAATATTGTAACAAACGAGACCTACCAAGCTGCTCATTAGAAGTCCAACCCCCGATCTTGCATCCAACAAAAGGAATCTCGAACTGCAGCTGTCTAGCGAGGAGAAAAAGAAAGAAACAATAAAGCAGGCAGTTGCTTACATTGAAAAGACAGGCGAGTTGTCGCTATAGCTTACCATACGAACCCCGCTGGACTGCGCCTTTCAGCCAGCCGCTGCCCGCATATATTGTGACAAATGAAGGCAAGAAAACGATGTATCATAAACTTACAATTATGGTTTAATCGGCAAACGTGTGCTAGAGACAAAATGAAAGAACACACGTCAATAAGGCAGCAACGAGCGAAGGTGCGTCGACGTGACAGCTGGCTGTTGCGAGTGTAAATTAGTTAAGAAATCGCCAATACCACGCTCGGCTTCTTAATATTATCACTCGTCATCTTGAATATTCGACCCCGATTGTTCGATAGTTCGCTAGGGAAAGACTTACTTATCTTTTACACTCGCAGTATGCATACACAAAAAAAATTCTAGATGCGCGGAGAAGCATTTCTTTTCGGGCGTACACGCGGCAATATGTAGACAGCTTTGAGCGAACAAAACTGCGAGTACAGTCATTTGGGTAATTCATGAAACAGGAGTCTATCAAACGTCTACACAGGCGGACTTTTTTAGACCAGACGAATTTTTTCGGTCCAGGCGACTTTTATTCGTTGCGTTCCAGTTTAATTTAAATCATAATTGGAACGCTACAATATTTTTTTAATAACCCCTTGCTGAAATTGATGTTGGCACCTTTGTTGTTTTTAATTGACGCGGTGCTGCCGCTAGATGAATAAAACCATGATGACATGAGAAGAAAGTGTTCGAGTTCTTTTTAAATGTCGTGCACTCGTATCTAAAACTGTGGTACTATTTTATGCCCACCGCATAAACTGCGGTGGGCATAAACTATTCTGTGCGGTGGGCATATTTTGTGCGGTGTTTGTAGACATGCTATCAATGTATTTGACGTGTATTTGTACTTGCACTTGTCTCTCCTGCCTGTAGACAAGCCCATCAAGTAAAAAAGGTGTGGTGCAGGGTGTTTATTGTTGCTCGGCGAGGTGCCCATAGAGAGCTGAAGGTAACTCATTTTGTTAGATCTTGGTTGTACGAAAATAAAATATTATATATATATTTTTTTTTATTGACAAAAGAGGTGACAAGCCTGTTGATATATTAGGCTCAAGCCACCATATTTCATTGAAAAGCGGAATGGAAAGAGTTAAAGCAAATGACGAGCGTCGATTTGGCAGAAGGAAATGGGGCACAAAAGATAAATTGATTTTTGACAACACAGTGCAGAATGTTATTTTACTCGAAACATATCACGATAGAGTAAAATAAACATTATTTACTTCCGTGATTTATTTTATCCAGTAATCGCTTACACCAAGAAAATTACAGAATAATGCGTTAGACCACTTGACTACGAGAAAGCACTTACGTGTCAAGCCCAAATTCTTGTTGAATCACTGTACCCCACTGAATAAAGTGCATGCGCTCAGTGTCGTGTTTATGCGAAAAGTGGTACGTAGTCTTTAAATGATTTTTGCCTGGAAACTAACACAATATACATACCAAATCACCACCGGCTTGCAGCACAATGCAACCTCTGTAACACCACAACTCTAAATGCTTTTTTAGCCTTTTGCACTGACCCTTCTTTAGGGCTCTGTCGAAGAGAAAACAAGTAAAGAAACAAAGAAAGAAAATAAACAACGGGATGAAAAAAGGACAACTAATCCTAATATCCGAAATTAGATTTTTTTTTTTTAATTTTACTTACCTTTGACGCGTCATTGAACTTCCAGCTTTTTCTGGAAGAACGTGCATGGGTGTCTAGCTCGTCAGTTCTGCGAAACTTCTCGGGACTAGCACATCCCTCGGAGCAGTCCACATCCCCGCACAAACTCGCCCAGTCGAGCGAATCAACGAAGGAACACTATAACAGCACACGACACGAGTCAGCAACGGCAAGTTCAGATCGCAGAAATTAGTGGCTCACACAATCCGGCTGGTCCCGATATCGAGGTTTCGAAATGGTGCGCTCGAGCGAGGTCTCCTGGGAAGGCCACCGTCATCGGTTTGCCCTCGCTGGGGACGGAAATAGGGCATGTTTCATTAGGTTGTGATCCAAGCCAACGCTCCCTGGGAGCCTGCGCGACGTACCGTAGCGCATGACGATGTGGTATAGAGCCCTCTGCGCAGCCAGCTTCGGCCAAGGCGATCGGGCGCTTGCGCTCATCGATGTTACCACTGAGTATAAATAGTCCTTTAGCAAGGCACAGTTCCTAAATGGAACAATAAGCACCTGCGAGAGTTCTGTGCTATAAAAGCGCATCCGCAAATACATTTTTGGTCGCGATTCGACTATCTGCTTGGGTCATCTTCCGCTTTTGCTAAGACATAACAAGCCCATTGAAGCATTAGCCCCAACCCGCATGCAGAGGTGGATGCTTTTGTTGGCAGCCTATCGCTGCGCCTGGCAATATACGAAGGGTCAGTTTTTCGAAAATCCGGACGAGCCATCGCGCATTTCACTAAATAACACGCATGATGTGAGCAAGTCTGTTGCATCCCAAACTGACCAACCCTCTGGGAATGAGAAGCGCCAGACATACTAAATTTTGCTTCTTACATTCGAGAGTTCCAAGTATAGGTGAAACAATTTCAATCGAGGAAACTAGACCAAGTTACCCTGCGTGGGAAGTTGGCATCGCCTTGACAAGTGTCAGTGCGGTAAGTTGCGTCATAAGCGTGAACAGTGAACAGCACTTCGTGCTCGCCAACGTACTCTTAGAGACAACGTTGCCTTTCTCGGGGCAAGCAGTGATCCGCCGTCCGCTGCGCAACCCGGCCCAGACTCCTGCCGACTCATACCTGAGACTTCGCGGAGCGCCACATTGCTTCGTCTCCGCCGGTTTGCAACATGGGTTCGTACACAGTAATATAAAACGAAGGAAGTGAACGCAAGGAAACGGCGACACAAACAGACGTTTCAAAAAGAGGACGACCGGAAGCTGCCTCGGCTGCTTTTGAAGCCCTTTACCTGTGCCGATCCCCATCTGTCGTTCATCTGCTACAAGAGCCAGCGCGCTAAAGTGAAAATTAAAAAAAAAAAAAAAATAGTGCGGGAAGTGATGAATTTTGTCATGGTGCCGACTTGAGCTTTTTATTTTATATATTTTTTTCGGTATACCTGAGAGCGTAACAAATGCTATCATCTGTATTTGCTGAATACAGAATATTGTCTTCCGTTTCACCTTCTTGCGTATTTTGTCACAGAAAAAGTAATTTCATAGAGGTTCCAATTAACATTACGCCTTAATTATTCCGTTGATATGGTTTTAATTGTTTCATGCTGGTCAAAACTACCCTGTTTTCCTGGGCCTTGCTTTTTGAATTATCGGCCTATTTTATTTGACAGTGTTTCACCTGTTTTCATATTTAACTCAAAACCCCGATTTTTGTTATGCAAAATAAAGCTCGACGCACAACTCTTAAATTTAGCAGAAATATACGACAAAGATAAAAACCCCTATTTAAGTAACAAGCAAAAATAAATAGTGCAGTACATCTTCTTGTTTAAGTTTTCTTTTTTTTACCTATTCTATGATACAGAAAGTGAGTTTATCCTTCTCTTTTTAGGGCGCTTGAAATAGATTGATTGCATATTCAGTTAAAATATTTGAATGCATTTGCAGGTTATGCAGAAGCTACCTCGAACATTCATGCTTCAGTCACTTGGAAATTATTCGGGTTTAACATGTAGTTATCAGAATTTCTACAACGAGACACAGAGGGGTCAGACTTACACAAAATATGATGCCACATCTAAGTTTCCGGAGCACACGTGAGTACTAAAAATAGTCATAATATTGACAAATAAATCACGGCACGATCGGAGTTTTAACGTATTTACTTTGCAGGGAGAGAGCACTTCACTATGTAAAAAATGTGACTGGAAACAGAATATATTTGGGCCCTAAACGAGGTGAGCTAACGTCTTTCCTATCAAGCATGCACTTTTCAATCCCGAACGCCGTGACAAAACGAATAACATCCGTTATATCAACACGATAGCGTTAGGGAGCTCGAGTCGCAGAAAAGCCAGCCTCAGTGGCGTGGCAGAGACGCCTGCGTTGGTGACGTGACCCGAAAAAAGTTATTGGTCGAATAACTCATGACGTCACAGCCACATGACCTCAGGTAGGAATTTCGAACAACCCCCAACGCTCATGCGAAACGTGACGTCACACGTGGAAAAAACGTAAATGATAAACTTGACATGTAATGGGAATTAAAGTTAGCCGCAAGTCTCATACGATATCCCTTTATGAAATAATTCATCTGCCTTAGAAAAAAATTTAAGAATTTTAAGCGGGATTTGAACCCACGAACCTTCGGATGCGAGCCACACACGCTACTATTCAGCCGACGCAAGGCACGCTTGCAAGGGGGTTGAAAAGGCCATGCGAACGCGGCCCGATAGCGTTATCGCGTTCTACTCTTAAAGGCGAAGCTTAAGCGTCCCCAGTTTTTTTTTGTTAAAAAAGGATAGCTTTTGACTTAGAAATCCACTTCTCACCGCTTATTCCTTGAGTATATAGGCCATTGGGTAGTACTTTTAGAGCCCAGTTCTTAGGGGCCCGTTCCCAGCTTGAGCGGCGTTGGCGTCGGCATCGACGCCGCCGTCGGCGTCGGCGTAACCAAGGTCACCCCAAGGTCACGCGGCCCCCCAAGGTCATCCCAGGATCACCCCAAGGCCACGTGACCCCCAGAGGTCACGTGATCCCCCGAGGCCACGTGCCCTCCCCCGGTCACGTGACAGTCCCCCCCCAGGTCACGTGCCCACCCCCAGGGTCACGTGACCCCTCGCCGAGGTCACGTGACATCCCCGATGACACCATCATCACTGATGACGTCACCAGCATCCGCATCGTCATCGTCATCATCACTGATGACCTCACCGGCATCCGCATCGTCTTCGTCATCATCACTTATGACGTCATCAGTGACGTCGCTGATGACCTCACCGGCATCCGCATCTTCATCATCACTAATGACGTTATCAGTGACGTCACCGATGACCTCACCGGCATCCGCATCGTCATCGTCATCATCACCAATGACGTCATCAGTGACGTCACCGACATCCGTATCGTCATCGTGATCATCACGGATGACGTCATCAGTGACGTCACTGATGACGTCACCGTCATCAGCATCGTCATCGTCATCATCGCTGATGATGTCATCGGAGTCCGCATCGTCATCGTCACTGATGTTGTCATCAGTGACGTCACTGATGACATCATCGGCATCGTCACGTGACCCCCCCCGGTTCCCTTCACCCCCCCCCCCCCCCCGCGCAGTGCCCTTCCCTCCTCTTCCTCAAGGGCTGCGCTCTAATTCGGTGTTACAGGGAGTTGTAAACGGCTTTCACTTTTTTTTAGTTATGTACACGCCTGATTAGAGTGAACCCTTGATATTTCAGAATAATTTTTGGATCTGGAATCCGTTCCATTAGTATATGAGTAGC